AAGTTTTTTGTAACACATGCATGAAATATTTGCAGATTAGAAGGGAATAATTCAATAAACTTTGTTCGTATTGATCAATAATGGAGGAATGTAAGTTGAAAAGAGATTATACCTGCACTTAAAGATGGTATTCTTCAACAAAAATGTTGAACGAGCCTATTACTGAATGACTAGCCAGAATGACTTCTCTTCAAACCACTTCAGATTCTGAAAGTTGTGGTCTGTGTGCTTTGTAACAAAACAGAACTACTGTTCACGTTTTCTCACCAAGCTTTCCAAAACCTTTTGAATTCTGAATTATTTTTGTTGTATTAAGTAAAAAAACGTAACTGTTGAATTGTTCTCTTTCTTTCTTAAAGAAATTTAATAAATTCTTGGAGGATTCATATTATTCTGTAATCACTTAAGAGCTTAGTCAATTGTTTGAGGTTTTTCTAGCATAAGGTCATCATAGAGGTTTTGTCATGATAGCTTTACGAATAAAGACAGTTTATCAAAAATGAGCAATTCACTGCACTTACTCCACCATATTATTCTGGGTTGGAAAAAAGTAGTCAACAAAAGTTTCTAAAACTAATTTTAAACTGACATCGTATATCATATAATTGTAAAAATTAAATTTTTAACTAAATACAAATTAACTGATAAAGAGTAAGCTTTTTTAAACATTCTAGAACAAGGTTTATAGACTAATTTTGTGGTTTATTCAGCATAACTCAGCTATAAAAACAGATTGAAAGGTTAAAGTACGTTTCCAGAATATTTTGTAGACCATTTATTTTTTAGCTATTCTTTCAGTTCCGAGTTTTTTTCTGTGTTATACACAAAGGTTATACAAAGTTTTTTCCCTATCAGAAGATATCAGCCTACAAACAGGCAAATGTAGTCGAGAACTCTTCAATTTTACAAATTTATCTTGACCGGTAAACTATGTATATCTGCTCCAAATTTAAAAAGAAATTTTGCTAACAGCTTAAAGAAAGTATTTAATTAAAATCTGTGGTTTGTAAGAAATTTTTAAAAGTGCAGTATTTGTACCTGAAAGCCAAACCACTTATTGGCTTTACTTGATGCTACGAAACAAGTGAAAAAAAGTTTGATGTAATGTGAAATTTGTTTAGCTAAACAGCAGAAAAAATTGCTGTCGACGCTGAAAAAGCAGTAAGTTGTTGCATAATGTAAAATATTCTTTCTACTTGTTACTGATGTGTCAAAGTAAAGTAACATCAGTACCATTGTAAAAATTTATTCTTCAGGTTAAACTTTACCTTAAATTTTTTATTCACATTAACACATTTCTTCCATGCTGAAGTTTTTTATCAGTACAAATTCATTCATTTATTGTTTCACTGTCTTTTCTGTACGTTTATCAGAGGAAAATTACAACTGGAAAAATTTTAGCTATGAGGAAAAAAATTCTTGTAAATAGCTTAATTGAAACAGGTAATTTCAGAGTAATTGACAGTTTCACACCTTGACAAACAGTGCCATTTATCCTCTTAATTTTTAAATTTTTCGCAAGTGAATTTAGACAAGAACAGTTACTGTTCGATAATACAGTTCAATTACAAATGCTCTATAGACAACTGTCTTCTTTTTTTGTCTGTTATTTAGTTTTTCAATAAGTAAACAGTAAACATATATGCAAACTTTTTAGGCTTTTTACACTACTAAATCTGTTAGTAAAAGGTGCTGAAAAACTGCAACCAATTGGGCTTTTATTAGAGAAGAAATTGATAACTGAAAATTCTGCAAAGCAAAACAGAACTTTTAATATAGGCAGAATGACCCACAAGAAATTTTTTTCAACAGTAAAACCTCTGTTCACAGTGGTGTAATTTGTAGTTTTCTGAAACTTTAGAGAATTTCGCTAAAAAATGCTATTATATCAGTATCTCTGCTAATATAATCCAAGTTGTTGTTAGGCTCTTTTTTTTTTTGTTTTCTAACTGCTTTATATTTAAGATTTATGCAGAGTAGAAATAAAGGAAAAACCGTTGCTTTGTAACTGTCTTTTTTATTGATGAGTTATTATGAGTATTTTAGCTGAAAAGTGGGAAAACACTGACAGAGCACTTGTCAATTAACTTTTTCTTGTTTTCAGCTCAACTGTTCGTCGTTAAACCAATTTTTTTACACGCATATATCAGGAAAAAAGATTTTTTTTTTTGTTTCATTTTTTATCACATCATATATTTGTTAGTTTCTGGAAATTCAGTGTATGCATTGGTATTCTGTTCATAGACAAAAATCTTTCAAGTAAATAATATAAATCAAGTAAAAAAAGAAGAATAAAATATGCGTTTTCATATGCTTTTAATCTATTCAAAAAAAAAGTTTTCTCCGAAAAACCCTTTTTAATTTTCAAAGTACAGTATCAAAGCAAAATTCTTCTTCTTTCTGTCTTTTTTCTCCTTAACAGAATTAAATATTTTTCTTCAAAGATTAAAAACGTTTTTTTTTTCTTGCAAAAGCATTGAAGAGACAGAAAATTGAGTTATTCATTCAGTTATTTATCAAAAAATGACGGAACTGGTGAACAGCAGCAGTAAGTTTTGGATCTTGGCACTCTTAGTGCGGCAAGACGAACAAAAGCGGCCAATACGAGCAACTTTAAATGGAATGCAACTGGTACTTCCGTAAACGTTATATCACAGTAGTTATCCAAATTTGCAATTTCACAACCTGATTTCTCGGATATGCAAACCCAAATTGATTTACTGCAAAAAAAAAGGAACAAAAGATATAAACTGAGTTGCTTTTTTCATATGATTAATGTATATCAAATACTATTGAATTGTTTTCATCTATCATCTTTTCAGAGAAATTACAACTTATGCACACCCTCAAACTAATTGAAAAAAGCCTCTTGAACACTTACCCAGATTCAGCATTCTGTTTAGTAACCAATTTTGCAATGGTCTGTGTGTTTGTATTCCGTACCAAAAATGGATTACCTTAAAAAAGTCAGCCTAATAAAATTTAGAAAAAATTTTATTTTTCACTTATAACAAGTCCTTTAAACTAGCTTTTTGTGCAATTTCTAGAAAACAATAACTAAACTGTATTATTAAAAAATGACTGAACCAACCTGGTAAAAAATGTCCAAATGTGTCACCATTCCAGTCAGTGACCACAACTGAAGGTGGCCTTGATCGTCCCATAAAACACCAAGCATTTCGAGATTTTTCAGAAATCATCAGCACTGTCCGACCATAAGATTCAATAATCCAGGTTGTTTTAGCGCAAAAAGAATCTGTCCATACGTCAAATAAAGGAAAGTCAATAGAATCAGTTATCTAAAATGCGAGTGAAAAAAAAATAAAAGAAAATTAAAGAGCCAAAAAAAAAAGGATTAATGCCACAAGTTTGAATTGTCAAATTTAAAAATTAAGAAATTTATAACAGTGACGTATACAAGTTATCATATACAAAAAATAAAACTAAATAAAACTATTTGCTGTTTGTGAAACACATATTATCAGCTTATTTATAAAATGACCACCTGTAAGTCTGCGCCTGTTCGATGAATTCTTAAAACATGCGCTTCTGTCAAATAAAACAAAACTTGAGATTTATTTGGCATAATATAATGGTCTTCTTTTCTAAACATCGCTAGCAGTTCCTGCAAAACGAAGAACCAGTTGAGAAGTACTAAAACAGTAGACTAAATAAATGTTTAAGACATTGAAGCTAAGTTTATTGATATTGTTTTGCTTGTTCTCTAAGCAAATGTCAGTTTGTTCACTAAACTGATGTTGCAGTTTTAAAAAAAAATACTGATTATGTGCATCCAGTTAAATGCGTGTATTCCTACCCTCTGTTTAACGTCAAAAAACTGCTCAGTTGTAAACTTGAACCTAAAATGCATTTTCTGTAAATTTGAAGCACACAAAAAGACATAAAATTTTTTACACATGCTATGATTACGAATATTGAGATACTGAGGTTTTCAAATAATTTAAGAAAGAGTTAAAAAGGTATTGAAAAAGCCTAAAACACTAAATGACACGCTACTATTTCTTTCCTTCCTTATTTCTACATTTTGAATACTCCGTTTCTGTATTCTTTTTACTAATAGCTAAAAGAACTTTGTTAAAAAAATGTTATAAGTGCAGCTTTAGAGTAGTAAACCTTCGTAAAAACAGCTTTAAAATGAGTACAGTCGCTGATTCTATAAAGATTTCTATTCGCATCAGCGTCCCCATTATTCTGAGGCATCTTAAATCCGCAAGAAATTTGACTCAGAGAGATCCTATACTCAAATCCGCATCAAGCGAATAGAGAGTGATAAATCATTGTTGACAAAAGTAAATTGCATAAGGCCACTGCTGAAGCCCACATGATCACACATATGCCAAAAAGTTATCTGGAATCAACCTCAAAAATCATGAAAAAGCTCTTCAGCAGCTCAAACTGCGTAGAAGTAGATCTCGGTGAAAACCGATGTTTTCAAAAACAAGTTAGATGAACTAGGTTTGCAAAAAAG